GCATAAATTAATATCCAGTAACTGATGTTCAACAGTGTGTAAGTACTTGTTATTATTACTTACCCAGCTATCTGTCTGCTCGATATTCATCCACATACTCATTTGCATTTAATAATCCCTTTTGAGTGAATGGATTATAACTTGTTGGCCCTTAATTCTTCTTTAATTTGTACAATGGTATAACTTTCACTTTGGGAAGATACTAAAATGATTTCTGCCCCTTTTCAACAGAATCTTAAATAAATGGGTACTCTATTTTACTTTTACACAATTTCAGGTCAATTTTTGTTTTTTGAAATAGAATGAGTTTTACAGAAACACATTTGTCATTCCTTTATATTAAAGGAGATGTGATTTACAGTCTATTTAGTCCAATGTTTTAATGAAATTTGGTCTTTTGGTTTCTACTAATATTTATTAGTCAAAGTTTGGACCAAATTTGACAATACACCTCCTCCTCCTCTGTCCTTGACCCTTAACAGGGCGTGGTGGCGCTTCAAGGTTTGGAATCATCCATCCATGAAGTGCTCTCTTGGGAATTTAATCAGGTGGTTTCCCCTTGCCTGCCTGATACACACTACTAGTTTAAACCACATATAAGTACATCTTACTAATGTATGAACTGAAACAAATAGTAGTTACAGAAAATATTTAGTGTTCTGTACATACTGATACATCCGAGACACTTATTCTGAGGAAAGAGGCGGAATTTAGGATATCTCAGAGCAAACTGTTTCAGGGATTGAGTCTAAAAGAGTTGCAATAATGAGAGAATGAAGTAACTTACAAGTGTTGCTTCAGAAATTGTCCTAGGCACTTATTATTGTTAGGATGTTTAAATAAAGATAGTACTGCTGCAACATGTAGCATGTATGAAGACAAACTGAAATACAAAATATTCATGTTGTGAGAATGTGAACTATAAGAGTGTTTAAAGAGTAGGATAACTGCACTTTGGACATCACACATGTCGGAGGTTCCTGACCACCCACCTCGCAGTACCAACATCCCTGAAGGAGTACGTAGCTGGTAAGTGGTTTGAAACTGATAGCAACATGCAGCACACTTTAATTTCCTGGCTAAAGGTGCTTGACACCGATTTCTTCTACCCCAGTGCCTTGATGTTGCAGTGGGACAGAAGCTTAAACATCTGTGGTGACTATGTGGAAAAGTAAGGTGTACCAGGGCCTTTTATGTGTCATACGTGCATCCATGTAAGAATAAAATATTTCATGCCTCATTTATTAAATACCCTCATAGTTCCACTTGGCTTAGGATCGTATCTAAGGCAGGCTTTGATATCTGTAGTGTTGATACTTTGGGATTTGATACCAGAGATTTAAATAGTCTGTAAATCAACCAGATTGATATTAATTCTTTAGTAACACCTCTCTCCATATGGATACGAGTTCTTTCTTGTTCTTTGTTGTCAGACTTTTTGTGATTACTTATAAATTAGTGAAGAATAGCTTGTCCTGAAAAAAACAACAACCTGTTAATGCAAAGCATAATATTGCAAATTTGTTTCTTAGGCCACATTACAGTCTTTATCACACAATCAACACATTTCTGTCCAGTATTGCCAAAGTCTTATATTGTAATAATTTAGTTATTGTTAATTGTATTTTACAGAATCTGGATGGTGATGGAATTATGGATCAATTAAGTTTCTGTTGGCTATTGGCTGTTGCTCTGACACAGCTTTTGCTCTTTTGCTGGTATGGAAATGATCTCACTTATGAGGTAAAATAATTAAATTTGTCTTATGTATTGAACAGCTATGCAACCCTTAACATGAGAGACTAAATGGATTGCAACAATATTAATATTGTTATTAATAGTCTGTTATACATTGTGAAGTAACCATCCAATATTCCAAAGAACTAAAGGATACCATTTTTATAGTGTTTCTCTGAAGTGGTCTGTTTTGTGATAAGATATTTTAAAAGATAATATGTGTAGTTACTTGAACTTCATATTTTCTATACTGTTTTACTGTCAATAATTAACAAATACAGTTGTTGTATTTTGTTGTTTCAAAATCTTGCTTTATCCTACATGACCATGTTGATCTTATGAGTTTTAATGCTGTGTGGATTTCTAGGTCTCCAACTTTACCCCTAAGAGACTGCCTGTTATCTTTTAATATTGTTTTGTTTTGTGGATTTTTTGTATTCCATCCATATTTTTTATGGCTGTGTCATCTCAGTTTGTCTGTCTGATCATCCAAGTGTTATCTCCGTAACTGCTGTATGGATTTTGACTATATTTGATAAAAGTCCTCAGGTGAATTTTAGTTCATATTAATATGACCCATACTTTACTTGAAGCTCAAAACATACTTTAAAAATTTTCTCAAAAATAGTTCATAAAAAATATTAACACATGATTTAAAATATACTTTTCTTACAGATTTATTTACTTGTATGTGAAAAATTGTTATTGATATGATGAATATATAATAAAATACAAGGAGAAATAATTTCAGGTACTATGCAGTGTGACAGCTTTGCAACAGTAGAATTACCTGTAATAAATGAACATCAAGGCATAAGACAAAGAACTCCAAATTTAATAATGATGTTGATGATTATATTGGTAACTGGATTAAGACATTTCACAGTCACTTGTCCTAGGTACCTGTCTTGTAGCACATATTTTATCTGGCATTGTAACATATTTTGGTAACTCCCAGGAAGACAGAACAAATCTACCAGTATGAAATATGAGGATAGTGGCAGAGGTTGTGGTAGTATATGATGATTGGCATAAATATTTGTGCAGTCATAATGAACTGTGTGCATGTACAGTCCTGCTTCGAGATGTATGGAGTGTGGATCTCATATTAAATTCTGTCTGACCTTAGTTTGGAGACATGTCTGCAGGTTGGCCTTTAACTGTAAGATAAATCAGAAACAGAGAACACAAAATATCCATTGTCCTGGATACCTGTGGAATCCTACACCAACTGCTTTTGTTATTACAGAGTGACAGCCTGACAAAAGCCATGTATAACACTCCTTGGAATGATTTCTCTGTCTGCTTCAGAAAGAACCTGGGGATTATGATATCACGTTCTATGAAACCATCGTACCTCACAGGTGGCAAGCTGTACATCATGTCACTAGAGACATACAGGCGGGTAAGGTCATGCTGAGATCTGTTTATTATTTAGAAAATGCTATGAAAGTAAGTTGTCCAAAATGCCTGAACTAATGTGCAGAACATCAGTTTTACATTTCTGACTTCATTGGTTGGTATATAAATGTACAGCGAGAAGAAGCATTTCACACATCCCCACAAGATAATCCCTTAGCCATAAAAAGAGCATAATGGAGTTCTGCCAGCAACAGATACAAAGCTAAATAGATACTCTTTCAAAAATTCACAATTCTCACACTTTATTCCCAGATGTTATTTGACTATTCTAAGAGGATAAACTTGATAAAATATCAGATTGCTGTCTTGAAACCAGTTTATAGTAAGTCATGTAAATATTAAAACTGTGTGACATATTTACTTTCACCTGACAGTTTTTAAAGTGTAGAATTTTAGGTATTCATTGTGATGTAATTATAAGTGATAGTTTCTGGATTGTTGCATATGTAGTCTTTTGATGCTATACCAACTAACTCCGAAGGTGGAGGAAATATACCTCTCCAAAAAAGTTGTGTACTTCTAAATGTCTACAACTATAACCTAGAACAGTGATGCGCAACTGGTGTTCTGCGGCAACTGTGTTCTAATAATTAGATAATTACTGATGTCTAGTTTTATTTTAAACCTAATATTTTCTCTGCTAACATCTACTCTTTGTAAATGATGGTCATATTCCATATGCAGTGGGATCTTTGGGTCGCTGGAAACTGATTTGGATACTGTGAAATAATGATATATAATCTACATATAAAAATATGAATAAGTATCTTTAAGTTTTAATGATTAAATGACATGTATAAATATATTTTAATTTATTTGAAATAATGAATATATTTAAAGTAAATGACAATAATAAAGATGGATAATTATGAACATCAAATAGAATATTTTTCGGTTGGGGTTGATTTGTAAGAAGTTGTCGTGGCCAATCAATGCCATAAACCATCTTACCCCCCCTCCCCCAACCACACACACAATATACAAAATGGTGTTGGTGTGCCACGAGTGTAGAAAGGTTGTGCAACACTGACCTAGAAAACCACCATCTAATTTTTAAAATTTTGAAAAAAATAATTGTTTCCTAAGACTGATCTTCACATAGCATTAGAAAGAACCACACATATGAACTCTTATTAATCACTGATTTTTCTTTCAGATAATTGGAGCATCATTCTCATATTATACTGTACTGCGTAATATGAACAATATGCAAAGCAGCAACATAATGTAATGTTACTGTGTGATTTTTACAAAAAATTCACTAACAACAGGTGCTGCATTTGATGTCCATATATATTGTGCAAATATTCACTTTATGAAAACAGTACTTGTTGCACAAGAATTCAAAACATACATAATATATGTATAATATAACATACTGCAGACAGATAGAAAGAAAAAACTAGTAGATCACTTCTTTACAGAGGGTTGCTCTGTAAAATTAATGCAGAAGTTTGTTAGTTCAAGAAATATTTCCTTGTTAGAAACAGATGTTTGTAATATTAGTCATCACAAAATATTATTAATAATAATAATAGATTTCCCTTTGGTACAAGTTTCCTTGTAACAGGTTTTGAGATTGTTTTTTTTTTCAGGAAATACCACAGTAAGTATCTAGGATGATGGAATAATGACATTCCATCAGTAAACTTTAAATGACAGAATTTCTAAAGCACTTTGGCCTCTCAGATCACATTTTGAATTTTATTCATGAGGTAACTTAAAACAGACTGATTGCCAAAACAACCCATGGAAAATAGAGGCTCTAAGAGAATGACATTTCCGGATGCTTTACACAATACAACTTCAGTCATTTTGTAAAATATCTCAGGAACTTTAATGCAAAGAGTTGAACCACACTTGGAAGGTAATGGAGGATATTTACATAGTCATTTATAATTTATTGTAGCAACTAATAGAGAGATTAGTTGTTTTTAACATATTTTATAAATTATTATAATAGGTGTATGGTGTCTTGTTTAAAAGGCCTCTTATTTAGTAACAACTGGACTTGTATGTTTGTCACTCTGTGTACACATTATGAAGATCATTATTTCAAATTTCAATGCTATCTATACCAGCTATGAAATTTTATTGTTTTCCAAAGAACCTACAATTGACTGCCTTTGGTTCCATCCTTCCCAATTCATAGTCATTCACAACAAATTTTATTATCCTAAACCCTACACTGAAACTTTAGAGTATAAACTTGTAATTTTTTGTGCTGCCCTGATAATGTCTTATCCCATCAAGTAAGGAGTTTTGCTGGTGATATATAATTGATAAAGGAGCATTTAATGTTGAATTCTTGAATAGTACATTCAATTAATGATCTTTCCTGACTTGCTTTGTAACATTTTATAAAATCCATTTAGGTTTTTGATCCATAATGGCTAAATTCCTTTAGTTATCAAAGTCAATATAACTTATTGTTCTCACACAAAACAAAATAAAATAGTGAAAAATGCATACTTTATAATCATATGCTTTTGCAAGTTGCTCAGAAGTGGCTTCTTGATTTATTATTAGGTTAACAATGCTTTTATGAACTACTTTGGTTGTTAGTGTCAAATGAGATTAATCTTAATTAATGGTGAATATGTAAGAATCTGGAAGGAGGTGTTATAGCCTATAAAAAAGTAATGTCATAGCACCTGGAGAGAGTGAGAAAAACCACAAAGAAACAATAGGAAAACTACTATCCCAGTCAAGATTTGAACCAGTTACCTTTCAATGTGGAAATACAGAGTCTTTAGCTCAGCAGAAGAGTCATGTTAACATTTATTGTATGGGAATAAGATATTTAAGTCCCCATACTACATGTCTGTTGGCTGGACGTTAGCTCTGAAGTGAATGGTTTAGTGGTGTGCTAGTTAGATGCCTGGCCAGCTGGGCTGCATGTAAGTCATAACACGTGGTTACAAAGGTTGATTCTGATTGCTTGAAATTTGTGAGATTAATTGACAGATAAATAATTCTTATAACAGTATTTAGAAAACAAGATGTGAATGTTGGATTAATCTAGTGAAATTTCCTGACGTTTTCGTGGTTTTCTTAAAATGAACTGTAATGAAATTGCTTACTTGTTATGATGTTTCAACCCAACAGACCACAATTAATACCTTCCCCACCATAAATACCACCATTGTCTACAAACTTGACTGTACTAAAACTGCATAGTTATTATAAGTGTTATGAATTTGTGCTACTGGTGATCAAATAGAAAGTTGCCAAAAGTGCCCATTTTATGTTAACTAGAGATAATTACCAAATTGCCTAAACGTTCATCTCCGAAATAACCACTGCCCTCCACTGGTCCCTGTCCTGGGCCAGCATAATCCAGTCGCCTTCAACTCCTATATCCCATGGATCCTGCTTGATATTATCCTCCCATCTACGTCTAGGTCTCCTCCCTTCACGCTTCCCGATCAATACTCGGTGCACACCTCTTGCCCCATCCATGCATGCCACACATGCCCTGCCCATCTCATTCTTCTTGAGTTAATCACCCTGACAATGTTGGGGGAAAAGTACAAAGTTTTAAGCTTATCCTTATGCAGTTTTCTCCATACTCCATCATCTTCTCTCCTAGGCCCAAATATCCTCCTCAGCACCCTATTCTCAAACACCTGCAATCTATGTTCCTCCCTGAGAGTGACAAACCATGTTTCACACCCATACAAAACAACAGGCAATCATTTGTCTATATTTATCTCAAACAGGCCTCAGCAGTTTCCATCCATGTTCTTTCCAATTCATTATACTTACAGCCACTTCTTTGGTGCCATAATCTTTGTGCTCAATAAGGGCTTAATTCATTACAAATTCTATTTGGTAGGATTTGAGGTTTTCATGGCAGTGAGTATGAAGATGCCTGTCTTCTGGGTTGTTGCGCCATGTAGTCTGGTGGAAGTTTATATGGCGTAAAAATTCAGAAAACAGCCATCTTCAAATTCTATTTGATTTATGTCCTTATTTCCGGGCACTGATGATGTAACCAATGTAATTAAAATAGCATTGCTGAATGAATCAAGTTTCAACTGCTGTAACTGATTTTCTTGGCTTAGGACTTTGTGGCTGGAATTTTATGTACAACTTCGGCCTTTGGGCATGAACAACGTAGAATGTTGTGAATAATCCAGAGCAAGTTTCGAAAACACTTAACTATTACAAACACACCCTGAAGATGGCAGTTGCAATATTTGCCTAAACGTTGGATAATTCTAAAAGTTTGACGCTGCTCATTCACGAAAGCCAAAGCTGTGCAATACCGATTTTGTTGAGAAACCCCATGTGTCATTTCTGTAACCGTTAACACATTCATTGTACCCGATGGATTCTGCTGGTTTTCTTACTAGAAGACTACGAGGTGCGATCGGAAAGTTTAAAGACTGCGCCTATAAAAACCCGTACACTTATCTCAGGTATTAAATTCATCCATCACCCTCGAAGTAGTTCCCCTGGGAGTGAACACAACGATCCCAGCGCCGCT